TATAATGCATCCACTCTGCTACTCATTCAATAATGATTTATTTCATTTGACCATATTCAGCATTGAATGAACATTTAATAAATCATAGTAATAACTTTTATTACTATTGTTCTAATAGAAAATCATGTTTTAATGTATACCAAGAGCTCAAAGAGCTATGCTAGGAGTAAAAAGGAACCAAAAAATTAGCAGAAGAATATCTTTATTTCAAAAGAAGTAGCCATGCTGATTCATATCTATATCAAAAACAGCGTCCCTTCTTTATGAAGAAACTAAGGCAGGAAGAAGTTGAATGAAATCCCCATGTTCCTACAGAAAATAGAAGAGGTTTTCCTGAAAGCCAGTTCAGTGATTTTGGGGAGGGGAGGTGGCAGGGATATGAAGCAAATACAAGGAAATTATAGACAATTCTAAAAAGAATTACTCAAATGACTTTAAAAATCACACCAGCATATGTGAGAGATAAAAGCCAAAGGAGAACATGTCAATCTGAAATACAGACATGTCTTCTGTACTCCAATAAACTGTTCTCATTATAAACCTAAAGAGCACCCAGCAAATTTAGGTCATTCCAAATAAGAGAAATAAGAGGGATTATTAATAATGTCTGATCAGCTATCGGATTCTGCTCTGCAATCATGCTTGATTTTGTAACCAGAAATTAGTTTACAAAAAGAACCTACCCTATTTTTCTTACTAGAGGAAAGTTTTGCTAAACTTTATCATCTATGTGACTTTATTATAATCTACATCCATAAAAATTATGATAAAATCATTCTGTGTGCATTTTCAAGGAATTACATTATTTCTGTTATCCTTTTTCCAAAAAATGTTGTCTTTCTTATAGAAAAAAATTTCACCTCCTTATCTCTTTCACAAAATGGTCATGGTGAGTCACTAATTCAATGCATCTGTAGTACATCACAGAAATGAAATTTAATCTGAAAAGGTCAGTGAAATCTCTTGTGATGAAAACTTGTCAAAAAGCTATGGATTTGTTTCTGAGACAAAAAACAGACAGCATGGATTTTGCCACTGTGTTAGATGGGTGTTGTGCGTATGATGAGAGGTTGTAAGCTAAGATTTGAGGAGAGACTTCACAGAAAGAGAACAAGATAATTATGTAGAAAATAGGTAGAAGGGGTCAATAATAAAAATATGCAACAATAATATTGAATGCTACCATTTATTGTGAGCTCCCTCATTTCTAAGAACTATATATTATGATTAATGAGTCCAAACCCCATATTGTTAACCACGCTTCTGTAAATCTTGTCACTAATTTTGAACATTAATTATGATATATCAGGTTGGCTGGATTTAGAGACTCCTGGCAGTCCAACAAATCATGGTTCTGAGGGTTTCTATAGGGGTTTCCAGAAATGATTGCCATGTTGGGTAGCAAACTCTAGTGGGGAGATCCACCCTGATTGTGGGTGGCACCATCCAATATGCTTGTAACCCTAATGGAATGAAAGGAAGATATCTGCCTGGGTTTGAAAAGCTCCATCTTACTTCAGCAAGTGAGTGTTTTGTTATTGCCATAGTCTTCTTATATCAGACTTCAGTTTCTTCAGACTTTGAATATGCAGCCACACCAGTGAGATTCCAGTGAGATTCCAGGCTCTCAGTCTCTGATTGGCACTGCAACCTTCATCCTTCTTATTCCATGGCTTCCAGATTCTTCTTTTTCTCCTTCCACTCCTTCTCCTCCTCCACCTCCTTCTTTCTCTCTTTCTCCTCCTTCTCATCTCCCTTCTCTTCCTTTTCCTCATTTTTTTTCTTCCTTCTTTTTAAGGTACTGAAGATTAAACCCAGAGTCTTTGCACTGAGCTACATTCTCAGCTTTTTATTTTTTATTTTGAAATGGGTGCTCATGGGTCATTAAGTTGCCCAGGCTGGGTTTGAGCTAGTGATCATCTGCCTAAGCCTCCTAGAGTGCTGGGATTAAAGTGTATAACACCACACCTGGCTAGATTCTAGCTTTTGGATGGAGAAGTCACTGGATGCTCTGCCTCTCAAGTGCACAAACAGCTGTTGTGGACGCACAGCTCTGATCCTGTTACCCTACCTAATAAATCCCCTTGCATAGATGTGAAGCTAATTTTTCTCCTGAAATCTGTTTTCCACATAGTTTAGACATTCAATAGCCTGGAGATCCACAGGCCAAATAGGAATAGAGTGAGCAGCAGAGATGTTCTGAGAAAGCAGATTAATAGCAGAGACCTGAGGCACTGAATCCACTCCATCTACACAGTCCATTGCTTTGAAGAAACTATATCCAAAACAGCATGGATTTAGCTTAAATTCCCACTAGCTAATTAAATACATATTTAGCAGAAGAGATAAAATTCAACTAAATAAGAACTTGCTTCAGAAAATTTTTCCTATCTTTTCTTTGTTCAAGAACCTCTGTTTCTAAAATGACTTTACCAAGTATCTGAAATCAACTAATATTTATGATAATTCCTTTCATTAAATAATTTCTAGGCCTTATGTTCACCAGCTTTGTGATACTTCTTTTTTCTCCACCCAGACAACTTTCTAGGTTGCTTGTTCCTTGAAAATAACTCTACAGAGATTACAAATAGCTAATTGAACTTTATTATCTTCTGCCTTGGAGTGTGAAAAAAATGCAGTTTATCTGTGATTCAAGGCAATTTTAACCCAACCCAACATATACTTCATTCTATTGGCAGGAAAAGAAAGGACACTCTATAAACTACATTTTTAAAAATTCATTTATCTTTAAATGAAAGACTGTACATTTCTAAAAGTAAAATAATATGCATCTGGGTATTAGCACCAAGTAGAATTTATTTCACTCACCTCACTAATCAAATTTATCACCCATCTCCGGAGGGGAGAACCCCTGATGAAGGGCCTGGAATATTTCTCCACTGTGCTCTCTGCTGGAAATAGAATGGAAGCAGTCTCCCTCTAGAAATGGATGCAACACAATAACCTGTCCTCCCTAACAAGAAGTCCTGGAGTAGGGTGTTTATGTTGTCAAGCAGGCTGTTTGCCATTTCCTGCATGAGATGTTTTCATTTGTATTTCTAATAATCTTTTGCAAATACCATTGCTTGATTAGAATCCTTCCCTCTTTCACCAAAACAAATTTCCCTGTGTCTCTATTTACTCAGAGGGATTTTCATTATTTGGCTCATCAAATGTTGAACCATTGAAATATTACTAATTTAAATTTGTTGGGAAGGCAGATACACAAATTCAAATAGCTGCTGCCCTAGAGATGGAATAGAACCCTTAAGCAGCCAGGTGATCAAAGTCACCATGTCTTCATTCTACAGACAGATTTCAAGGCAATCATAATAACTTATTCAGTCTCCCAGGAAAAAAAAATTATACTCCACCAAAACACCAATGCAGGTATTTTTTTTATAGTTTCTCATTTGTTTTATTCTTTGTTTTTAGAAAAAAATGCAGGTAGATGGATTACTTTAAATTTTTCAGTAATAAAATTCTTGGTTGATGTGTGTAATCAATTATGCTGAAATTTTAAAAAGTGAGGCTTTAAAATAGTTTAATTCCAGGGTTTAATTTTATAAACAGTGCTTTGAAAATTGAATATTTCCTTAGCTGTGGACCAGGAGTGATTCTATTTATATCCCGCTTCATATGAATAATGCTGCAATAAACGTGAGAGTGTGGCTATCTTTATGAGATGTTTACCTCATTTCCTTTGGGCATATGCTCAACAGTAGTGTTGCTGCATAAAACAATATTTCTATTTTTAAGGATCATCTACACTATTTTTCATAGTGGCTGTAAAAATTTGCATTTCCACCAAGAGTGTACAAGATTTCTCTTTTCCCTTTTCTCCTCTCTAACACTTACTATGTATTGTTTTTGACCCTGATTTTTGATGATTGAGTCATTTCCACAGGTGAGAAATGACACTTTATTATGCTTTTAATTTGTATCTCCCTGATGATTAATAACATTATAGACTATTTTCTTATGCTTCTTGGCCATGTGAATGCTTTCTTTTGAAAAATGTCTGTTCAATCCCTTTGTACATTATTAGTCAACTATATGTTTTCATAATGCATTATATCCTTGAAAATTGCTGAAAGTAGATCTCACATGTCCTCATATAAAAACATGGTAAGTATGTGGGGTGGTAGATATGTAATTATATTGGTTCTGTCATCTCACAATATGTACATGTATTAAAACATCACTTTGAAAATAATAAATATATGCAACTTTTATTTATCCTCTCTACCTCAATAGAGTTGAAAAAGTTGTAGACCAACTGTCAGCAAACCCTTTTCTTGAGGGACCAGATAGTAAATATTGCAGACTTTGAGTATCATTAGTCCCCAGTGGGGCTGCTCACCTCTGCTCTGCTGTTTGAGTGACAAAGTAAATACTGACGATGTAATTTTTATATTGCATCTCCTTTAATTTTTGGTTTCCCAAACTTCCCTCTTTAATATATTTCAGTATTTCTATTATTAATAAGAACTCTTTTCAACTTCTGAAGGTTTCATATCACTTACGCAAGCAAAAAGTTTAGTTTTCCACAAAGTAAACTTTTTCTTTCCCCTTGATCATTAGTTAATCATGATTATTTTCAATCTATTTAACATAAAATATATGAACCAAATTTTACTTCATAAAGACATCATACAGATTTAAACAATCAACAGAATATTAGATTTTGCATTAGGATATATTAAATAAAATTTGTTTGGTGAGTTAGGAAGAACCTGAAATTGTGAAGAAGCTCTGTCAAGAGAGAAAACTCTTGTGCTTTAATTTGATAGAGATGAGAAGTATTGGTTTTATACTCATTTTTATTTTAAAATGCTTATTCTATAAATCTTCTTAAAATGATAGTGAAGCAAGTGGAGAGAAAGCTAATCATACAGTAATTATTAATATGTTAATATTATATGTTGTATGTTAATATTCGTTACCACAGTATTAAATTAATATGCTAATTATTGATTTATAATATTATTTTTCAAAAGACTGGAATAGGGACATATGCATTCTCTGGAGAGTGGAGAAACCACCTGAGATCTTGTGATTGGAAAGAAACTTTTGTTGGAAAATAGAAATGCTAATTTGCATTCAAAGGTAAATTCAAAACATTTATTTCTGCTTCTACAGACATTTTTCTCACTATAATCCAGGATTAAATAGTAATTTTTCTTTGTCTCACTTCTTTCCCTAGTGAATCATGCTGCAAACAGAGGAAGCAATATGTGGACAGAAGCTGCATCCATATTGCCATTTCTCCTCCAGAGGTTTTCTCCTAATGCTCATTAATTTATGTCATCTATTGTCTTCAGATATTGAAAAGGGCTCTCCAGCACTTGAATGTGACTATATTAAGAAATTTACCAAGAAGATCAGGAATAATTCAGACACTGCTGAGACTTCCTGTTAACATGGAAGACTGGAGAAGGGGAGAAGAGGTCCCTCCAAGAGGAACTCACAGCTCGGGGAGAAAACCTAGCATACAGATATTCAAGATGGGATATGGAGAGGCAACTGCTCAGGAGGGCAGGGCTTTGAACAACTTCCAGTAACTGTTAAAAACTGTCTCTCAAAATGTGGCCCTCTTGCAATGCCCTTTTAAAAAAAATCATCTCTAGATGAATTTTATGCATGTAAAAGCTTGATAGACAGTGAATCTGTGGGTCTTGCTGTAGAATTTTCTACTGACCTCTCTGTCAAGAGAGATTTGAAATAATAATACAAGGGTCTTGGGAGGGTTTTGTACTTACCTGAAAAACAGCTTCTCAAAGTCCATTTGTACAAAAGCAGAGATCTTTTATTATTTTGAAGTTGTTGAACTTAGAAGATCAAGAATTCCCTAAATTATATATAAATATGGAGTGCTTGTGTATTTTTCTAAGTGAGAGATCTTTAGATTTCATCAGATTTTCAAATGGCTCACTATTTCCCTTTCAAATCTAAGAATCACTGGACTAAAGAAATTGAGCTCATCTAATTGCAGCTGATTAATTCTATTGGAGACTTCAACCACCATGGTCAGGAAAGCAGGTCATTTTCTTGGTAACAAGAAAAATTAGTCGTTAAAATGTTTGCCTACCTTTTCAACCATAAGTTTTTCATCTTTTAAATTATTACTTTCCTCTTAAAGAAAATGCTATGTACATTCATGCACATTCATCAGCAAACTAATATGTGAATTCTGGTTCTAAATATTCCATCAACTAAATGCAAAATCCATATCAGGAATGCAAAATGGCTAAACTTTGACCACAAAGTATGCCTGGTATTTCATATCTATCACCTGTCCATCACAGCTTCTTTTTCTATAGAAAGGAAGAGCCTATGAAGCCACAATCACACACAGTATTCTTGGGCAATATCTCACTGATAATGTAGTTCTACTTCATTGTATAGGTGGTCTTTGCACAAGGAGGTCAGCTGTAACAAGAGAAAGAAGGTAAGAGAAAGTGACTAAGGTAGATTCCTTTTCATGCCTCTGTGATTTGGAGTTAGTGACAAAAGTCTGTGTTTATCTCCTGGTTAATAATATTGTATCAAGAAAGAAAGCCTCTAGTACTAAAAAAAGAAACAAAAGGAAGGAAACGGGGCGGAGGATAAAGAAGAGAGGCAGAGGGAAGGGAAAGGAAGTAAAGGGAAGGGAAGAAAATATCTATAATGTGAATCTGACAAAAGACAAAGATTTTCAGTTAATCTATGCCTAACATGAAAATGTGAGGTTGGAAACAAATATTCTTGGACTATAGAGTGTCAAAATTCATTTAGTTATGGCCTAATAGTAACAGGCAGAAATGAAGTACACAATTCTCTTTAAATACAGATGGGATAAAGCATCATGCTCAACAAACCTGCCTCAGAAAGAAATCCTAGGCCCAGGTTACTCGCAAAGATGCCAAACTACTAACACTAGTATTTTTGCTTCTGTTTGACACTATCTTGCTCATATTTTTATTGTCTGGCAGTCTCTGACACAGAAAATATTTAATAAATATTGTTTAATAGATGCATGAATGAAAGATAATAAACTAAAAGATGCATTAGAGATTCCAGTTATATTAATTAAAATACACATAAGATCTATATGAAAAAATTGTCAATGTCCCAATGCTTTATATTTAGTTCACAGATATGAGAATGACATGTTCTGTTCCACAGAATACTTTGGGGATCCAGTCTAGGAGAAGTTCTGGAATCTTCTGGTAACATCTAGATAAGAGGAAGAAAAAAGAGAGCATTAAAAAAAACTTGAGACACACATATTGGTGAAGCATTCCATATTTTAAAAAATCAAAAAAAAATTACTTGAGAGCTTTGAATGGCCCAGGCCTGGCCATGGCAGGCATAACTTGCACCTATATTTTGTTAGATCTCCATCTTATGCCCCTACTTTACCAAGGAGACTAGTACAAGTGCCCTGGTTGTGGACAGAGGAAGAAAAAATAACAATTGATTATATCAGAGTTAGAGACAAGTCTATGAGAACTTATATAAATGATACCCACCAAATCATAGCCAGCTCTAAGGTGGCTTACACACATTGTGGTCTCTTCAGTGGATTTGTTTTTCACTGCCTGAGTAACAAAAGCAAGCTAGTGTAATCTTAATCAAGTGAAAGGACCACTAATCTAAAAGAACAAGAGGGACTCTCCCAAAATTTGTTACGATTCTTGGCATTTTCAACTGCTTGATTAACTCTTTGTTTTTAGTCCTCTCTTAGTGAGATTGCCCTTGTAGCTCCTCCTAAAGTTTCACAGACATTCATTCTAACACAAGCCCCCAGAAGTCTGCTCTCCTGCCCATAAGTATTAATTAAGCAATGGACCCTCTTATTCAGAGGGCTTGACAGGCACAATATATGAAAAGCAAAGTGAACTAATGGAGTTAGTGTTTCAATCTCTTAAGTATTCACCTCTTTGACCCTTTGGGAACATTTCTTAATGAGATTATGAGCTGTACATACCAATAAGATTGGGATTTATCCAATTATCTCTTAAATCTTTCATTAGCAAACTGCCTTTTCTGCAATTAAATGCGATAACCATTTAGGTAAGAAGAGTTTTCATTGTTTACTTGTTTTTTCTTTTAAGTGGGTCATAATAATATGTCTGTGTTCACCATATTTATTATTTGTTATAACCAAGGTTTTTTATGTTTAAATAAGATATTAAAATTCACTTTTGAATTAATTCTAAAGTATTTCCTATTTGCTCCTGTCTTCCTCCTCCTATTGTTTCTTACCTTTCTCCTGTGTTTTTCTACTACTGCAGTGAATAAAATAGGTTCCCACTCTCAATACTTGTTAACAAACCTAAAGACATGATCTTTCTTTAATTTAAGGAAGAACCACTTCTGGAAACCCACATACATAGGATCCTAATCCTGTTCTCAATGTTGGGAGGTGGGTAGGGAACCTAACTTGAGTGATATTCATATGTTTGAGACAATGCTTGTCAACTTTGCTCAGTGGGAGGTGAACTAATATATTAGTATGTAGTGTCAAGACACATGTTATGATTAAAGAGTTTTGATGAATAATAAAGCATGAAATAGACCTTGCTATTGAAATTTTATTCATAGGAATAACCATTTCAAGGTATGAGGCTTTTGGAACGTGTTTTGCAGGAAACTTTTTTAAATGCTTTGCTTCTTCCATTTCTGCCTGTTTCAACATTTACTGCTTTTTTATCTCCTCAGTAATATCCAGTTCCTCAGAATATTTTAGACTGTAACACATTATTAGGTCAAACCAGGATGATAACTAACATATAATGGGATATTTCTATTCTTCCTCAAAACCCCTACCTTGACAAAATGCCTAAAATAATAATAACCAAAAAAGTTCTGGGTTGCAGTTTCTTAAAGTTCTTTCTAAGGAGAGGTTTTGTATTTCTCACCTCTGAATTCGTCCTTATTTACCTTTGAAGAAAGGGAATAACAGCATGAACTTTTATCGATGTTGTCGAATGAAAGTCCAACAAAAACATTTTCAGTCTCACAAATGTTTCATTCTAAAGAATTTACTAATTGCAGAAAATTGTGATGATTGTTGTCCAAAGGGATCTAATGTTGCCATCTCAAGACAGCGCCAGTAAGAACAGTCTTCAGAATTGAGCCGATAAATCAAGCAGAAAGGAAACAGAAGATAGATTGTGGAAGGCCAGAGAATAAGCAAACTCTGAAATACCAAGCATCAAAGATGTCTCTGCACTGACTTAATATTACCAGCAAAAAGAATAAGAACTTATTTTGTATTAACCACTGAGAATTCTTGTATGTTTATAATAGACTTCTAATAACATTTTATACTTAGGCTTTTGAAAATAAACTATATGTTTGAATATAAACTGTACCTCCACTCTTCCAGGCACTGAGCACAAGGTAAATAATTAACTTTATTTCCACTTACTATTGACAAAATCTACCAGTGGTAAATGTAAATGGAACAATTTAAGGACAGAAGGACAGAATGTACTTATGAATTTGACAATGCCAATTAGACAAGAAAATATCCAGGCCTTTCCTAGGCAAGCTTATATTTCCTAATGGGATAATCAGCTTTGATCTAGTGACTCTGTAAGCAAATATATTTAAGATGCTATTCACGCACCTGCTACTCCTGTTTCTTATTAGGAGCAATTTCTCTCCCAAAAAAGTACTTTAGTCATACATACATCCTCTTAAAATCTTCCAGAAAATAGGAGTATGAGTTCAAGAGACCAGCTGCTTCTTATTCTCAGGAACAACATTCATATTTTCCATAAACCTTCTTAAATTGATGTCTCTATGATTCAGAGGATAATTTTACTGGCTTCTTGCATTAGCTTTGTCACCATGTTCTCTTTTCCAGTTTACTTTCATTATATTGACTCCATAGTCAGTGTAAGAGGCATGGGAGAATGGGTAAGATTTAGGTTCATTCTGTTCCTGTGATTAATCATTAAATCAAACTAGAAACTGATCTTAGAAGAAAATCATAAGAGAATTATCTAAAACATAAGACTCTATCCCCAAGTAAATATATTTCTTATTCCTTGAAGAGAATGAAGATTTAATTCCTAAAGAGTTTTACCTTAGGAAAAAGAAATAAATTTTCATTAAACTTCTTAAAGTAGTGCATTTCAACAATCTACTGCATTATCAAATTTGGTTAAAGGGCATAAATATGTCATTCTTTGGCTGATTAAATATATGTATTAGGAAAAATGAATAATCCAAAAGCTCTAATATAACCTTCTACATCATATACTTTCTTCAGCAGCACATATACTATAAACTTCTACATCATTTAACTAATTTTAATGGAATTTGTAGATTGTTTTCTTCAAAATTGTGTCACATTGTACACTAAAATTATTGCAGAGATCAATTTTTACAATAAAATATTCCATTTGCTACATTAATGATTCTGCAATTTCTAGGGAGTTAGGTCCTTTATGGTATTCTGACATCTGGATTGCTTTAGAGCAACCCTTCATTGGAAATTATTTGATGATGTAAAACCTTTTATGGGTAATTCTTTGATGTGGAATTTACTGGATGTCTTCTTTTTCTATTTTTTGATTTATGAACTATAGCTTACCAACATACCATAGTAGAATTCTATGACAATTATGGTTCATAATCATTACATATTCTCACATTTGCACAATTTGAGTGAAAGTGGAAATCATAATTTTTGAGATTGTAATTATTAATCTATGGTTTAATATATGTATCTAAGTTATCTAATATTTTATTGATGATCACACTTACAATTATATATTTCAAATTAATAAGTTTTTCACTAGTTGTCTATATGTATGTATTCATGAGTGTGTATATGGAAGTATGTGTGTTTGCAATTTTAATGATTCTGTATAACAGATGGAAGTCATTTGTCACTTACAGAAATACTTTTCATTATTGCCAGTGATATGTATCTTTCAAGTAAGATTTTTTTCTGTATGTTAATGCAGTAATTTTTCAAAATGCACTACTTGAAGAAGTAGCATGTGTGAGGTCCTGGGTCAGAGAGAGAGAGGGAGAGATAAATACAAAGAAAGAAAGAAGGGGAGAGAAATGGATCTAGATGCAGACATATCATGTTTTATAAAATTAAGTCAAAATCAAACATGGGCTTAAATGTAAAATGAAAACTTACATGATTTCTAGAACAAAAAATAGGAGAAAATCTAGGTGAACTTGTGTTTGATGATTTTTGGTGAGTTTTAATAAAAAGTCAAAAGTACAATCCATGAAAAAAATCAGTCATTTGGGTTTAATAAAATTTAAAGTATCTACCCTGTGAAAGACAATCCTAAATAAATGAAAAGAGACAACACAGGCTTAGAGAATATACTTGGGAAAATATAGCTTATATAGTATTTAATTCAAAATATACAAAGAACACTTACACTCAACAATAAGAAAACAAACCAATGAGAAAATTTTTTTAAAAATCTGAACTTTCAATTCAGTAAAGAAGATATACAAGTGTCAATTAAACATATGAGGAGATAATCATTATCATAGGTTATTAAGAAATCACGAATTAAAAGAATGAGATAATATTATTTAAATATTAGAATGACTACAACTGGAAAACCTAACCATTCCAAATATTGATACAGAACAACAGCAGCCTTTGTTCATTGCTAGCAGGGGTTCAAAATTCTACAGTTAGTTTGAAAGACAGCTTAGCAATTTCTTACAAAGTTAAATGTAATCTTACTATAGGATCTAGCAACCATTCTTCTAGGTATTTTGATGTTTGAGTTGAAGATTTAATGTCTATACAAAAGTATATATACAAGTCCTTAGGGTAGCTTTATTCATAACCACCCAAATCTGGGAACAACCAAGATGTCCTCTAATAGGTCAGTGGATAAACAAACTCTGGTTGACATTCCTAAAGTGATCACTGGTTATCCAGGGTTTGATGGGTCAGATGGAAGGAGGACAGGTGAAATACAGGATATTTTAGGACGGTTAAATGATTCTGTTTGATATTGAAATGGTGAATTTCTGATCTTATGAGTTTGTTAAAAGTCACAAAATTGAAACACATAAAAATAACCTTCAGTGTAGACTGTGGACTTTAGTTAACAATAATGCATCTACATTTGGTCTATTAATTGTAACATAAGTTCCACAATAGTGCAAGAACATATTAATGTAAGTGTATGAAAGGAGAAGCTGCATAGTAGTCTCTGTATTATTTCTTTAATTTTTTTCCTTTAAATCACATAATGGCTCCATCCAAAACTAGAAAAAGAAATTTACATCAATTATATAAGGACATCCTAAAAATAAAGATGAGAAAACAGATTATTTAAAATAAAAATATTCAAAGATTGCAAATATGCATTCATAAAGGGGGATTCCAAAGAATTTTTTAAAAATTAAAGATGCCTCATTTTGCAACTAGTAAGAGGAATAAAAATGAAAATGACAAGGAAATGATTTTGTATATTGTTTAGGTGGAGAAAAATTAGGAAATCAGATAACATCAAGTTTTAAGTCATTAAGGAAACAAGAATTGTAACAATGCATTTATGTAAATTATCTAGACTCAAAAATATGTTACCCAACATTTTATATATTTAAAGATGCATAGATATACAGGTACATATAATACACACATTAGGTGGATGTCTGTAGGGGGGAAGAAATGAGAGACAGAAAAAAAAATTTGACTGAGCAATATTATAAATTCAATTCCATAGGGCTGGGGTTTTAGCTCAGTGGTTCAGGTGCCTGCCTCGAAATTGCAAGGTCCCAAGTTCAATTCCCTGTACCAAAAAAAGAAAAGAAAAAGAGTACAATTCCATGCCTAAAATCCAAACATTAATTTTTTTATTTTTTACTTTTTATTAGTATATGTTTGTCATACATAATGATTACAATTATCATGAGGAGTTGGTACATGTACATAATATATCTTGATTCTCTTTCCTCTCTTTTTTAATCCCCAGCTCTTCCCCTCCCTCCTTGCTCCTTCCAGCCAGAAACTCTTTAAAGAAAATTAGATATTGAGATAAATTATGTGCTACGTTCAAAGTTGCAGCTGAGCTATTTCTAAATGTCCTGACACAAACTGTCTCCGAGACAGTTGGGAGAGGTGTTGGAATCAGGAGAGAGAAGCAAGTGACTTGATATGATATCAAGGTGTGAAATGGTAGAGTCAATGCCAGGAGACTAGGTATCTTATGGAAGTGGTGAAAAAAGAAAAAGAAGAAGAAAAAATATAAAAGTGTGAATGTTTAAATGAGGCAAAAATGCATAATAAAAATGTAAAATGACTGGAGTCTGCTTTTTAATTAGAAATGTCCAGGGTTAGAGAATTATGGTAGGAAAAGGATTCCAAGAAGTGAATTTTAAAAGTTGGAATTGTCTTCATAAAGTTAGTAAAGACAAAATATGCAGGGATATAATAAAAAAAAGTATAGTAATAAACAAAATAGATGATCATATAAAGTAGATACAGAAATTGTACAAATAATTAAAATCTAAAATAACCTATAAACCACATGAGAGAAAATTCAAGGGCAATATTG